GGTCAAGCCTTGACCTCGAAGGCTGAGCTCTCCCACAGCTTGGATGTCCCTCACTCATTTCCATGAGTGCAAAACATTCACAGCACAGCCCGGCTGCCTCACAACCTGCCCCCCAGTGCTTCTTTTGCTCAGGCAGCGGGAAAGCAGCTCTTTCGATGTTGGTGTATGTTCACCGTTGGTGCATGATGTGCTCGAGGGGAAAGTTGGCTCCAGAGAGGAGCTGCTGGAGCAAAAGACACCGTTTCTTCCTTTGGAGGAGCAAGTGATGCGTCCGTGCCTTATTCCTGTTGTCTCTGGGAGCGGGGCTGTGGCAGCAGACATGTGCTTCCTTACTTTTTAATATGTATTTCTTAAAATGTTTGAATGAGAACAGCCCTCTTCCACCTAATCACAGTTCTCTTACTGCCTGACACCAGCTCCCCCAGGGACAAACACAGCAGCAGTATCTACGCAGGGGATTAGAGTGCGTGCCCTCCGAGTGGTGGGATTTTGTCCACCAGCCTTGATGGTGTTGATGTCCCCACCTTTCCCACCTCAGGGCACGGCCCTGTTTGCGGTGTCCCTCTCACCTCTGGTTTCTCGCGCCAGGTCCGGTCCACAGTGAGCGACTTTGCTGTTTTCCTCACCATCGTTGTCATGGTGCTCACTGACTTCCTGATGGGGATCCCCTCACCGAAGCTCCACGTCCCCCATATGTTCAAGGTACCGGGGTGCCATGGCCTGGAGCCGGTGTCAGCCCTTGGGGCGCCCCAAGGTGACGTCGGGGCAGGGCAGGGCTGAGTCCGCAGGAGATGCTGGTGATGTGACCGGACCCTCTCCCCGCTCGAAGTGTATCGTTCCCTTCTGGAAACGAGAAGGCAGCCCCAAAACTAGCTGTCTCCAGGAGAAATATCTCTCGGGGCTTGCAGAGAGGACAGTGGTGCTGTTGAAGCTCCTGGGAGAGGGTGATAGGCAGCCAGGTCTGGGACACAGGGGTGACACAGGGGTGGAGGGGAAGAACCAAAGCCCGTGAAGTGTCTGGGCCGGGTGGTGATGCCGATGTGCGTGCGTTGTTGCAGCCTACTAGAGACGATCGCGGGTGGTTCATCAACCCCATCGGACCCAACCCTTGGTGGACGGTGTTGGCCGCGCTCATCCCGGCTCTGCTCTGCACCATCTTGATCTTCATGGACCAGCAGATCACCGCCGTGATCGTGAACAGGAACGAGCACAGGCTGAAGGTGAGGGGCGGCGGGAGAGGAGCCCATCCCCAACCCCTCCGGGCGGCGGTTGTGGGGAGAAGCTCCTGTTCCAAACGCTTGGGGAAGGCGTTGGTTTGGGGCAGCATCAGGCTGCTTGGGGGGAGGCTGTTCAGAATTAACGATGACGCAGGGAGCAAACAAGAGGGGGAGTCTGATGGGCAACCTTTCAGAGGAGCAAATTAGTCTTAGAGAGGTACAGAAGCGCATTTTGGTTTTCAAATGTCAGCAGCAGCAACTGGAGCACCAAACCATTTGGATGAGCGGCCAGGGGTAACTCAGAGCCATACCTTACTTGCAAGACTTTGAACTTTTTTTATGAATGAAAAAAATAGTCCTTTTCTCTTTTTTGGAGAATTTGATATTGCACAAACTCTCCAAATCCACTTTCTCTGAACTCCTGCCAGATTGTCATGCAAGGTGCTTATGCAAGGACTGGATACATCCTTCTTTGTTTCAAGCTCTTGTTCTAACTTTTCAAGAAGTTGCCTTGTGTAGAATTCAAGTTTCCTTTGTGATTCTGTCCTCTCTTACGCTGTGGGATGCTCTGCTTCTTTTTTTGCTCCCTGCAGAAGGGCTGTGGGTACCACCTGGATCTTTTCATGGTGGCCGTGATGCTCGGGGTGTGCTCCGTGATGGGGCTGCCTTGGTTTGTGGCTGCGACCGTCCTGTCCATCACCCACGTGAACAGCCTCAAAGTGGAGTCTGCCTGCTCAGCTCCGGGAGAGCAGCCCAAGTTCCTGGGGATACGCGAGCAGAGAGTCACCGGCTTGATGATCTTTGTGCTCATGGGCTGCTCCGTCTTCTTCACTTCTCTCTTAAAGGTAAGAGGAGAATGGAAAACAGCCCCAACCACGGGGTTTGGAGGTTGCAGAGAACCCGTCCCCGCTCTCCAGGTGGAGAAGAAGAGGAGGAGGTGATCCCAAACCTTGGGGCTTGACCCGGGGTGGGAACCAGCCTGGGTTCCTCCTCCCAGCCCTTCAGACCCCAGTTTGGTGGCTCCAGGCACGCGAGCGGCACCATGGTGCCCATCTCCAGGTGTCCTTCAGGCTCACCCGTGACCCTGGGCTCCAACTGAGGGCGTTCGGAGCAGGACGTTGCTCTCTTTCAAACAGGCCCTGCTTTGTGGGGTGCAGTTTGCTCCCCATAACGTCTCACAACAGCCGCCCCAGGAGCTA